TCCTGCGAGGTGTGCCCCCTGCCCGGCCATCTGGGCAGCTATTGCCTGGAAGATGTTCCAGGTGTGGTAGCCTGCTTTGAACTGTTAAATCATGTCCTCCTGGCCCCATTTGGTCAGGAGGTCAGCCACAGCCAGCTGGGCACAAGGTACCAGCTCTGAGCACGCAGGGTCCTGCCACTGGCCTCCCTCGCAGGAATTCTGGTGTTCCCTATTGGAAAACTGAAAAATCCCTGATAAAAAAGATCCCAAAATCCCTCTGTAAAATACCCCAAAAATCCATGTTCCTCCATAAGTAAAACAAAAGACCACTGTAGAGAGAGAGAGTGAGAGACAGACAGTGATCAGTTGGATGATGTTTTATTGATATATCTACAGTGTTAAAGCAAGTCTCGTATCATAATAATAAAGTGAACTCTAAATACATCTTTCATGAATTCATTAATACATACTTTGCTGCCCTCCCACAGGGTGATTGGCCCCCCCACACAAGGGGTTCAGCCCCCCAATGGGGGTTCATCCCCTACACAAGGGGTACAGCCCAACAGGGGCTATTCCCCCCAAAAAGGCCCACATGCCCCACCTCAGCCCCCCAATGGCTGCCCCACCCACTGCTCCCCCAGACCCTCCAATGGTTGCCCCACCCAGCCTTGCCCCAAGGCTACCCCCACAACCCCAGACACCATCACTTTAAAAAAAACTCAGAAAAAGAACAGGGAGAAAAAATGGGGGGAAAAAAATCCTCTGCTTACCTTAGAAGCAGGTGTGGGGGGGCTCCGGGGCCGCCTGGCAGAGCCCCCCCCAGGCAGCACAGGACAGTGCAGGGGCAGGAGGGCCCAGGCTGGGGCTTCTGGGGCTGTCATCCTGCCCCACACTGTGCGAGCGGGGCCCCAGTCAGCCGCCTGGCAGCTCCAGCTGCCAGTAATTGCTGGGTTGGTTTGTTTGTTAGTTTGTTTGTTTGTTTTAAGTATGGGGGGGGCAGGGATCTGGTTGCCTCCGATCCAGGACCGTGCCCTACACTCTTTTTTTGAACTTTGCTTTTTTTAGACCCAATCCAGGGGTCTAGGGAACTTTTTTTTTGGTTCCCTCACGTGCCTTTTGCCCCTCCTCAAAGGGGTTTGAGGCGGGGCAAGAGGCATGTGCACGCTTATCTGGACACGCCCCTAATGTCTGGTGCAGCCGTATTTTCCTTTCATTGGTGAAGTTCACCATGTTTGAGCAGAGAAGTCTACTCATGGAAGCAATAGGCTTTATACGTGTGTGGCTGTATTAATGACTGTCCAGTGCTGGATAGGATTGTGGCAGATCCCCAGAGCAGGTAGAGCCTGGAAAGGGATCATGCATTTGCACTTCTAGATCTCTTGTTCTTATCTGTTGCAGCTATGGTTTTATGTGCAGCTGTTTCTCTTTTGTGTGGAGGCCCCTCCTCCCACAACCCTGCTTTGACTGCTCCGGTACTTGTTTTGAGCAGAAGCAGCAAAGTGAAACTTATGTTAATTAGCCATTTATATGGTGCCTTGAAAGCATGAAGTCATCTGCTGAGATGGGTCAGGTTGAGTAGTACCTGGAACCTTGCTGTCTGTAGAAATTACAGGGTTTTCTTTAGGGCCTTTATGGCCATAAAAAAATCCCTCCACTATGTGAACAACATTGCTTTTTCATACAGTGTTAGCAGATGGCTAGAAAAAAAATGACAGCTGTAACAGAAACAGGAATTGCAAGCGCACCCTATCCTGGACCCAGTAGGACAGTGGTTACAAACCAGTGGATCTTGATCTACTGATCGATCTCGGGGCCTCTTGGAGTTGATTTGAGGCTGGGGTGGGGGGCTGAGGGCCCAGGTGCATGTGCATGCCCCAGCCCAGCGGGTCAGCCCATGGGGGAGGGAAGGGGCTTGGGCCAGGTTAAGCGGCACCCCCCTCTCCCCGTGAAGGAGGAAGTGGGGCTAGGGCTGGGGCCTTGATTTGCTTCATTTCTTCCCCCACAGACTTACCTTTTTTCTCCCTCTGGCTCCATCTCTCCCCAGCCCCCACTTTCTTTCCTCCCACAGACTTACTGGTGGGGCGCACCCTACATTTGGGTTGATTTTTAAATGCCAAAGGTGATCTCCTACTTAAAAAGGGTGGAGACCACTGAGATAGGGTTTTAATGATTCATTAAATTGGCAGTTTTAGTGGCTCTGTTAACATTGACTATTCTAGGAGCTGCTTCCAGCTCATTTTGGGAGAATGGACAGCTGAGCCAGGGTACAACATTGCTGTGTTTTTTGCTTCTGTGTGCTTCCAGGCCTCTTGTTCTCCCACTGAATGGTAGCTCCTCCCCTCCTCCCGATTTCTCCTGTCCATTTTGTAATTGGTCTGTTTCACCCTAGTGTCTCAAACCTGACCTTAGGAGAAAATATTTTTGGGAACAACAGATGTGCTCTCTGCTATGTAAGTAAAGCTTTTGGAGAAGATTCCTCCAGGGATCATCATAAGGCACCATGAGTTTTTCCCTTACTGTTATCAAATATCTGAATAATGTATCTCCATCAGTTTGTTTCTGTTGTATCGAGTTTAGAGAACAGTTAGTTTTAAAAAATGGATGTCTCCACTTTTTTGTTGGATTAGAAACTGGAATGCTATTGCTCTGATAATGTTAAACAATTGGTTTAGCATATTTGTGTAGTGGCAGGTCCACATATTAGTTGAAACTTGTGCCAATGAGCAGCTTCTAATACTCCTGTTTGGCAACTGGGAAAAACTGCAGTTAGTTCTATTCGCTGGTACCTTTTCCATTTAGTTAGGAAGATTGGGCTTTTGGGCATCGTGAGTGATTCTGGAACCCCTCAGACTTGAACAGTGGCAGGTTGGTCCTTTTTTTTGCCCTTCCTTTGCCCTTTTAGCATGCACTGTCTGTTAGGAGGTGGGTCTGGGCTTTCTAATATCTAGCAGTCTTAATAAGGCAGTAAGCTGACTACCTAATCTACAGCCTACCTTAGAGTGGGTGTCATGGCATAAAGCCCTGTTGTCTTTAACCCAGAAAAGATCTTATGGGGTAGGGAATAATGCATTTAGGGGCAGCCAAAAGTAGAGCAGCAGCACTGGAGTTTGACTGCATTGATTGAGTCGTCGTGTCCCCCCCCCCCCCCCCCCCCCTCCACAA